CAAATCGCGCCAATCTTGGTACGAATGGGAGGCCCTGAAAAGGGCCGATATATTATTATTCTATGTGATGATTGAAATTGAAGAGTCAGTTTGCAATCGATCTATTTGCTGGTGGTGTACTTGGTGACGGCCTTGGTGCCCTCACTGACGGCGTGCTTGGCCAGCTCACCGGGTAGCAACAGACGGACAGCGGTCTGAATCTCCCTGGAGGTGATGGTGCTGCGTTTGTTGTAGTGGGCGAGACGGCTGGCTTCGGCGGAGATGCGCTCAAAGATGTCATTGACGAAAGAGTTCATGATGGACATGGCCTTTGAGGAGATGCCGGTGTCAGGGTGCACCTGCTTCAACACCTTGTAGATGTAAATGCTGTAGCTTTCCTTTCGCTTCCTCTTCTTTTTCTTGTCACCGGTGCGGACGGCCTTAGCCTTGCCGGCCTTCTTGGCGCCTTTGGACGATACTTTTGGGGGCATGTTTATCAATGTAGAATGATGAATGAATGCTCTGCACACCGAATGCTGGCCTTATATACGGCGAGGCGAGGAGTAGCGTGCTCATTATGCGAGGAATCGGCAGAGTAGTTCAGCGCGGACCAATCACAGCGCGCGCCTCGCGCAGTGCAGCGCGGCGAACTCCTCGCCATTCCCTATATAAAGGAAAATCGCTCTATTTATTACAATTACAACTCAACTCAGCTCAGCCAGCTCATTCGCATAATTTTTTCTCTCTCTACCTACGACCACCACCTCATCTCATCATGTCCGGACGTGGCAAAGGAGGCAAAGTTAAAGGCAAGGCAAAGTCTCGCTCATCCAGGGCAGGGCTCCAATTCCCAGTCGGCCGTATCCACCGTCTTCTCAGGAAGGGTAACTACGCCGAGCGTGTGGGTGCCGGTGCCCCCGTCTACCTGGCCGCCGTGCTGGAATACTTGGCCGCCGAAGTGCTCGAGTTGGCCGGCAACGCCGCCAGAGACAACAAGAAGACGAGAATCATCCCCCGCCACCTGCAGTTGGCCATCCGTAACGACGAGGAGTTGAACAAACTCCTGTCCGGCGTCACCATCGCCCAGGGAGGTGTCTTGCCAAACATCCAGGCCGTCCTGCTGCCCAAAAAGTCACAGAAGGCCACCGGCGGCAAGAGCTAAACCGGCTGATCACCCTTCCCTGCCACACCGCACTGTCAATCATACTGTCCTTTTCAGGACAACCCCATTTTCTCCCCAATTAGCTGACTGTTGTCAAACACACGACACGACGAGTTTTCCCCATGTTTTGTTTGGGTTTTTTTGTTGTTGTTTAAAGATGTACATGTTTATATTATTCAATTATATATCACTTATATATGTTTAATTTTCAACCTGAAAAAATATATCTACTTACTTAAACGTAAACCCCTCTAGCATTTAAGAAAGCACTAAGACTAAAGAGGGAGTGAAAAAAAGGGGCGGGTGGGTGAGTGGTGGTTGGGGGGGGGGTAGTTGTAATACACTGCGATAACCCATCATCTCGATCACACCAATGATTGATCAACAAGTACCAAAAACGTTATTTTGGGTGGGGGGGGGGTGGAGGGAGGGTGTAGTCTTAACCGATAAATCATGGTGTAAATATTAAAGGATACCGGTACACATATACTTATACAATGACTTAAACCACTTATGTGTATACATTGACATGTACCGGTACCGGTACCGTTATTGTTTTGTTAACGTAGATGAATGAATTCACCGACAGTACCGCGCATTGTATGCCTACATAAATTAGAACTAGTTATTACCGGTACATAGTAATGATGATGATGACGATGATGATGATGATGATGGTGATCGCTTCCTTCAATCATTTCTCGCTGCTCTGCTTTAAATCCAGTCGACATTAACATCGCAATCCAACAAGACTTATATTTATAATGTGGCATTATTCATCATTCACCACTACCCCTGGCGGCCAAAAACTACAACAACAACCCAAAACCACCCACACTCACACAAATTTTTGTTTTTATAACAGTACCGGTACACACAACCCCCAAAACAAAAAGAAAGAAAGAAAGAAAGAAAGAAAGAAAGAAAGAAAGAAAGAAAGAAAGAAAGAAAGAAAGAAAGAAAGAAAGAAAGAAAGAAAGAAAGAAAGAAAGAAAGAGAGAGAGAAAGAGAGAGAGAGAGACAGAGAGAGACAGAGAGAGACAGAGAGAGACAGAGAGAGACAGAGAGATCTCCCGAGTATATAAACGAATTGAGCCCGCGTTAACAGTAATTTTACACTTCACGCAAGTTCACACCCAAAATCCCAGCACAATGGCCCGTACTAAACAGACCGCTCGTAAATCCACTGGAGGCAAAGCCCCACGTAAGCAGTTGGCCACCAAGGCTGCAAGAAAGTCCGCCCCAGCCACCGGTGGAGTCAAGAAGCCCCATCGTTACAGGCCTGGAACCGTCGCCCTGAGAGAGATCCGTCGTTACCAGAAGAGCACCGAGCTACTCATCCGTAAGCTGCCCTTCCAGCGTTTGGTCCGTGAGATCGCCCAGGACTTCAAGACCGACCTGCGTTTCCAGAGCTCCGCCGTCATGGCCCTCCAGGAGGCTAGCGAGGCCTACCTCGTCGGTCTCTTTGAGGACACCAACTTGTGCGCCATCCACGCCAAGCGTGTCACCATCATGCCCAAGGACATCCAGCTGGCCAGGCGCATCAGAGGCGAGCGTGCCTAAATATAACACCTCGTTGTCAATTACCCACTCCCATCCAACGGTCCTTTTTAGGACCACCCCATCTCATCCTCAATTAGCTGAGTCGGTTGTTTCCACTGACTACCGCTAACTGCCACACGCACGCTATTTTAAATTGTTTTAAGAAAGCCTAAGCAACAAATCTGACAGAAAGAATTGTATAATATTTAATAATAATAATAATAATATTTTGAACGAAATAATCATTATCGCCAGAGAATGCTGGTGGGTGTTCATCAAGCAGCCACCGGGGTTGGAGAGGTTTGAGGGGGGAGAGAAATGGTGCAGAGATCGATAAATAACGATACGGTAATAATATTGAGGGTAATAGTAATAATAGCAATAGCTTGGGAATGCGAAAAATAAATGTTTCAAAAGAATTAGCTGACGTCATTATGTCATATGACGCAATCAAGCGAACTCACGCAATTAAGACAACAAAACTGCCCATCGGAAGCAAAATAACTGAACTCCACGACCATACCCAACATCATACTTCATACCCGTAGTACGAGAGTCAAGAAGAAGTACAACACACCACACGACACCACACGGTTTCAGTGATAATTATGGCTACAAGTCATCAACTATGATCATTAGAAA